CCTCCCCTCCTGTTATAAACAAACAGAAACACAAGGCTTAAAAAACTAAAAAACAAACAACAACTCATAGCACTCAGAACCAGAAAAGAAAACTTTCAGATGCCAAAAGCAGGAAAGAAACCCACAGCACTGAGCTGAGTGGTCTACCGGGAAAAACAAATCACAAGGACTTCAGCTTTAAGGCTGATGTGTAAATGGCAATCAGGATAAGGCAGAAGGCAAGACATAACCTGTAAAGGGGGAAGCCAGAACTCAATTCCCAGTATAAAGATAGGAGCCAGGACAACACTACCCAGAAGCTTAAGAAGATGGCTTAGAAATGGCTTCTGCTTAGGTAGGTAAGAGGTGGAAAAAATCAGCTTCTAGAAATACAATTCCCTTGGCTGTACCACAAGTACAATGTGGAACTGAGAAATAATCTAAAGACTGCTCTAGAAAGAAATACCTTACAGGGCCCTAGGGATACCTGTATAACCCAAGGAATACAAAGGATCTCGAAGCAAAATAATTCTCACTAAAGATAAACTCAAAAACAAAAGTTACAATACAAAAGAAAAAAATATAACAGCATGAGAGATAACAGACACAATAAATAACAGAAATTAGAAAGAACACAAGATAATAGTTTGATCTGAAAGATAATTTTTTAAAAGGGAAATTACAATGTTCAAAGAGATAAAGAGAAAAAAATCTGTAAGACAAGCTCATAGCAGTGGAATGCACCTGTAGTCCCAGCTGCTTGGGAAACTGAGGTGGGAAGATGACTTGAGCCCAGGAGTTTAAGACCAGCCTGGGCAACATAGCAAGAGCATATTTCAAAAAAAAAAAAAAAAGAAAAAGAAAGAAAGAAATGAAACAAAAAGAAAAAAGGAGAAGAAAAAAAGGGAAATCAAAGAGAATTTTCCAAAATTGAATAAAGTCCTGGATTGAAAAGTATACAGCCAGAAGCAGAATTAGAAGGAAAAAAAATCCAATGTAGAGACAATAAGTTAAAACAGAAAAGATTCAGGAAAATTTTAAAAAAGAAAGAGAAAGGTCAAATTATTTACAAAAGAACAACATTGACAACAGAACTTCCATCACCACCAACAGATACCAGAAAATATCAAAACGATCCCTTCAAAGTACAAAGAGAAAATAAGAGTCAATTTAGAAATCTATATCTAGGTAAACTATATTCGAAAAAGAGAAAAAAATTAAGACTTTTATTAGCCATAAAAATTATAAAAGTTTGCTACCCATTATACTCTACTGAAAGGAGAACAAGAAAAATTAGCCCAGAAGATAAAGCATAAGCTAAAAGAAGTAAAGGTAAACAAACGTGTTAGTAGCTCACTATGTTCATAAATTGTATTGACTCTAAATAATGATTATAGTAGCTAATGTTTTTAAAAACCTGGTGAAACCAAAGCAATAGACAGTAACAACAAAATATGGGAGAGGCAATTTGAAAAAAAGGCAAAATGTCTTAAATCCTTTTTCTTATTCAAGAAGAGGATAGAGATACTGATTAACTTTGGATAAATTTATTAGGAAAGTAGAAATTCAAGTAAGCATATACTCATGCATACATTTTGCCAGCTGGTAGAAGAGAGTGGGGAGAGAGGATTTAGGGGAAGGGAAAGGAAGTGATGGGGGTGAGGATTCAATCAACTGAACAGAAGGAAAGGAGAGAAAAAAAGATTTCATGACAAAAATATCAAAAGCAATTGCAACAAAAGCAAAAATCGATAAATGGATCTAATTAAACTAAAGAGTCTCTGCACAGCAAAAGAAACTATCATCAAAATGAATAGATAACCTACAGAATGAGAAAAAACTTACACAATCTATCCATCTGACAAAGGTCTAATATCCAGAATCTACAAGGAACTTAAACAAATTTACAAGAAAAAACAAACAACCCCATTAAAAAGTGAGCAAAGAACATGAACAGGCACTTCTTAAAAAATGATTTATTTTTCTTTTTAGGGCTAATCAAGTGAAACAGTGGTAGTGAGAAAAACAAAGAAAAAACTGGTTGTGGCCAGGTGCAGTAGCTCACAACTATAATCCCAGGACTTCGAGATCCAAAGTGGTTGGATCACTTGAGGTCAGGAAGTTGAGACCAGGCTGGCCAACATGGTGAAACCCCATCTCTACTAAAAATACAAAAATTACTGTGCATGGTGGCACACACCTGTAATCTCAGATACACAGAAGGCTGAGGCAGGAGAATCACTTGAAGTCAGGAGCGAAGGTTGCAGTGAGCTGAGATCGCACCACTGCATTCCAGCCTGAGTGACAGAGCAAAACTTCGTCTCCAAAAAAAAACTAGTTGTGATCAGTAATTGTAAACACTACCGCACTCGGACTAGCCAATGGTTATAATTTTTTTTTTAAGACTTTTTTAGAGGCTGGTCACTGTGGCTCACACCTGTAATCCCAACAGTTTGGGAAGCCAAGGCAGGCAGATCATCTGAGGTCAGGAGTTTGAGACCAACCTGGCCAACATGGTGAAACCCCATCTCTACTAAAAATACAAAAAAATTAGCCAGCTGTGGTGGCATGCACCTGTAGTCCCAGCTACTCGGGAGGCTGAGGCAGAGAATCACTTGAATCCAGGAGGTGGAGGTTGCAGTGAGGCAAGATCATGCCACTGCACTCCAGCCTAGGTGATAGAGTGAGACTCCGTCTGAAAAAAAAAAAAGGACTTTTTTAGAGAAATTTTAGGTTCACAGCAAAACTGAGAGGAAGGTAAGGAGAGTTCCCATACTCCACATACTCACTGCCACACACACATAGCCTCCCTTAACAATTATAATTTTAATTTCCAAGGAAAAACATTTCATAAGGTTCAAATAAGGAACTAAATCAAAGTCTATTTTCACCAATTTTAACCTCTGGAAATTTCAGTTCTATTAAGTCATTAATTATATAATTTTTATAAATGTATTGACTATTAGAGCTATAAGGGGCAATAAAAATAAATAAATTTAATACTTATTTTTTTTTGATTTGATTATTTTATTTGATTAGGGCACTGGGACTCACAGGAGAAAAGTGAATTATCTAACACCACACAGGTCAGTATCTGAGCCCAGGCTTGTAACATTAAATATTAAATCACGCCAGGAGAGGTGGCTCACATCTCTAATCCCAGCACTTTGGGAGGCCAAGTCAGGTTGATTACTTGAGACCAGGAGTCCAAAACCAGCCTGGGCAACACAACAAGACCCTGTCTCTACAAAAAATTTAAAAATTAGCTGGACACACCTATACATACTCCCAGTTACTTGGGAAACTGAGGTAGGAGGATAGCTTGAGCTCAGGAGATCAAGGTTATAATGAGCTCATCACATCTACTGTACTCTAATCTAGGAAAGAGTAAAACCCTATATGTTAAAAAACAATAATAATTTAAATAAATAAATACTTAAACTTTAAAGAAATGACATGACTGAGATTTGCTTTAAATTAATTCATTTTACTATTTTCTAGAGTTATTATCAGAAAAAAATCTCACCCAAAATACCGCTGATGTCATACCATGTCCAGTAAATCAGGACTTTGAAGTCTGTATTGCCTTAAGAATCTTTTATTCCCCTTCCTCTTCTCACTGTTTTTTATGGCCTTAAAAATGAATACTTAAAGCAAAGTGTTTACTATTTGCTTTTTGGTAAGCTGGATGGCAGTGAGTTGATCATTGCTGAAGCTGAGTGATATAGGTCCATAGGGGTCATGATATTATTCTGTATAACTGTATGTATGTTTTAATTTTCCATAAGGATAAATCTAAGTAACTCCTAAAACAATAAGGAATTTTTTTAAATCTCAAAATAAATGGCAAATCAGTCAATCTGTAATCCAAAACTGAATTACAAAACCTGCAACAGACTGTGAATAAATTGTATTTAATGTTACTCAGCCTGTGACTGCTTAGGTTTTTAAACAGTTCTCTTCATGATTATAATAAAAGATGCATGCTTCTCATTAGACATGCTAAAACTATCCAAGTTCGGAAACTGAAAAGAATAAACAACTCATTGAATTAATTGCCATTTGAATTACGAAAATCACATTTTGGAAAAAAATTAATTCTTTAAATAAAAATGGGAAGAACTCCCTAACATGTGCATGCACAACACATGCTAACAGGTCGGCCTAGTTGTATTACATGGTGATTATAATCATCTACATAATTAAACCCCTTAAGACAAGTAGACGATTTAGCACTGAGTCAATGAAAAGAACTAGAGGTCAGCAGCTCATTACTGCAAAATGAACAATCCTAATAAATCATACCGGCTACTTTTAAAACAGGAGGGGAGGAGAAGGGCAATCTAGTACATGGCATTTAGTTGATAATATAACCAAACGCAGTATTTTTAGGGTGCTTGAGTTTAGGGGATAAAATGTAAAGCACTACGACTACTGAGTGACATGAGAATTTCACTCTAAGATAGGAGCTGAACACCAGGTGTCAGGCCTAGTCACAGGCAAAAAAGGATCAGTCAGATATGGAAAGAAGCAGAGATTAGTTTAAACTAGAAGAAACTAGATAGAACTTTTAAACTTGTAGTCATCTTTCATTGACTGACGGTGTTGTTAAACTTAGGTTAGACACAGACTGTCATGAAAATAAACTGATGATGTATGTACAGTAAATAACTCAGAATGTCATTACACCTTGACAGGAATTATGCATCAAACAATGCATGTGATTGCCTCCAAAGACCAAGGCAAGGAAGGAAAAAAATGATAACATTCAATGAGAAAATGGCTATTCTGGTTCAAAAGCAAAATCCTTTCTCACTGTTGATGCTTTCCTCTGACTCCACGAGTCAGTTTTCCCCCTCCCCAAACCTCCTGCCCCCATCGCAAACCTCCAGTGTTTACACTCCTTTGGTTGTGACAAAAGAAAGAACTCAAAGCTAAGCCTATATGAACCATGAGAATCTATTTTCTCTGAAATATGTACACCTGGTATGGGAAGTCAGTAGATTTACTCAGAGCCTTACTCTTCATAGTCCCTTCCTCTTCCTCATCCTCTGCATTGATCACCATGGTGCCCAGCTGTGACGGCAATGTGTCATCGTGCTCAATCATAGTATTGGCTCCATCAGTCATGGTGCTGGCTACTCGGACAGTGCCCATCTCATCACCCACTGCTCGAACCATCGTGCCAGAATCCATCTCATCTTCTTCCTGTAAAAGGATAAAATCTCAAATTGGGGCTAATTTGACAAAAGACTTTGAGTTTCCTGAATGACTACTACTCATCTTAATGCAAATATTTTGGGATTTAATACTTATGCAGGTCCTAAACTCACCTTCTAGAAATGAAAGCACTGCTACTTAAGCAAAGAAGACAAATTTATCCATGTGAAAGCAGTGTATCTAGCCCTAAAGGAATTCCTCCTCTACTCTTTAATTCTTAATAGAGTTTTGCAACACAGATCTAAGAAACTCATGTGAACGTCTTTGTAATCTCAGGTTTGTGAGGAAGTCTATAAATGTAAAACCTACATGGTAAGTATGGATCCCAGATTCCCCAAAAGGACACGATAAGCCAAGTCTCAGACCTGAGCATTCTCTCTCTGAAATAAAAAGTTAAATTGAGTAAAAGATATGGGGCAAAAGAATGAAATTTGAAAGTGCTTTAGAAACCACTGGGAAAAGAACAAGCACAGATACAGCAAACCTCTAGCATGCCTTGGTCCAGGTTAGGACATAGTTAAGCTGGAAAAGTCTCCAGCTCCAAGTTGATCCAATACATTCTACTCATCTTACCTGGTTTGGCAATCACAAACAAACAAGTATCAATGCCTGAGGTCTACAGCAATGCCTGCCACTCACTGAGTTTTCTTCATCGTCCTGGTCCACTTCCCGCTGCTGGGATTCCTGGCGTTTCAGTTTCACATCCATGGCTTCATTAATTAAGTCTCGCAGTATTGACACTCCTTTGGCACTCTTGACAAATGGGTGCTTAAAGAACAAAGTAGAAAATGCTGGAGACAGTTTACATGGGAACAGTGCCAAAACAGTACCTGGAACACGGCAAGTACTTGATAACATTTGTTGAGGCAATCAATGAATCTGATCTTTCTCTTTGCGCTTTGGACAACAGCTAAACCACACTCACTTTATAACACTGAGCAGAGCAAATTCAGTCTTTGCCCAGCTTTTTCAGCCTGGTTGAAAGGCCTGTGCCATTTCCCTCTGTCAAATCTAGAGATTCTCAATAGGGGGTATCATCTCCTGGAGGAAGTTGTATAAACATGTTGGGAGCATGTTACAGCTATCATAATGTTTGGTGAGCACAAATGGTCTGGGACACTAGCATTCTGCAAAGTACAGAACTGTTCTGCACAACAATGAACTGTGGCAGACTCTGCACATCTTTCAAATGTCTCAGGGTGTGTACACACCTTAGTAGATAATGCTAAAAACATTTTTTCAAGAGATATGCAAAAACCCCAGTGATTTGTGAGGTGATTTTAGAGAGGTGAGCTTAATGAAAAAAAGAAATTATTTAGAAATCACGGAAAAATTTCTTGTTCATTCTATTCACTGCACTGTAGCATTTCCAACTACACATTTGGGGAAAAAAGGATTTTAGTGCAAAAATGCAGTTACTGCAGAAATAGTTCCTCTACTTTTCTTAATAGAGTTTTGCAACATAGATCTAAGAAACTTATGTTTCTTAGAAAACTGTAACAGATTTTGACCCAAATATTATGCAGTCACAAAAGACATTTGAAACAAAGGTATACTGCTGAATTTCATTAATAAAAATTGCTTTAAAAGCTTTTAATATTAATATCATCCTATGTTTTTATTTTGTTTGTAGCACGTGGTAATAAATCTATGCTGTGAAAGTTACATATGGAAATTATTTTGGGGGGATTGCCTGTTGTCTTCCAAACTTACTCCAATACTGTCCCCATTATTTCTTGGCAATCCATTGTCTGTTCTCCATCATCCATCAAAGGATGTGATTTCCAAGGCCGTTGTAAGAACTCCAGATATTGAAAGTAAACCTCAAAACGTGGTCAAATTACAATATAAGAGATACATTTCCATAAAATTTTGTCACTACCCCATCCAGGTAGGAAAATAATTTGGCAATCCACTTAGAAATAAGACCCAGCACATTTGCAGTAATATCATATTGCCTTGTTCTTTCTGCTTAGAAAATCTGTAAGATCGTATACTACTTTCTATAATCAGAGACAAATAAATGTGGCCAAATTTTTTTTTTTTTTTTTTTTTTTTTTTTTTTTGAGACAGTCTCGCTCTGTCACCAGGCTGGAGCACAGTGGCACAAACTCAGCTCACTGCAACCTCCATCTCCTGGGTTCAAGCAATTCTCCTACCTCGGCCTCCCAAGTAGCTGGGACTACAAGTGTATGCCACCATGCCCAGCTAATTTTTGTATTTTTAGTAGAGACAGGGTTTCACCATGTTGGCCAAGATAATCTCAATCTCTTAACCTCATAATCCGTCCACTTTGGCCTCCCAAAGTGCTGGGATTACAGGCGTGAGCCACTGCACCCAGCTAGTTTCTGATTTTCTTACAGCTCTTAAATCTAAATTCATTCATGATGTCAGGCGCAGGTATCTATTTCATTATGACTGCAAACTGGGTCAGGCTAAAGTATTTGCACATTGACAGCCATATTATTTCATTATAAATTATTTTTATTTTTCTCCATGACATCATAGACAATATTGATCCTTTTTAAATTATGGGCATAAAAATGTTTTATTATCTGTGAGTTTCATTCCAGAAAAGTAACGAGTTTTTAAATATATGCATCGGTTATAAATAGGGGGCACTGGATCTGAAATGGCTACAAACCGTTGGCCTAGTCCAATTATAATAGCAGATGGTTTTCAAGTTCATACCATACTGTTTTCAATACATGTGAACATTGTTCAAAGTAACACACATTGTATTGTTTAATCATCACAACATATAAGGCAGGTACTGTATCCCCATTTTATAGGTCACAAAACTTAAAGAACAAAGGTTAAGTTACTTGCCCAAGATCACAAAGCTAGTAAATTGGGAACCAGGATTAAAACCTTGGCAATGTGACCAGAATCCAAGCTCCTAAACACTAAGCATATTGCCTGCCACATCTGACCTAGCCTTTAAGGGCCAGGCCTAGAAGTTACCTCCTCCAGGAAAGCACCTTTAGCATCTCTGGTGCAAAGAGACCCTCTCCTACCCTGAACTACAACAGTACCCACCACTGATCTTAATTCTTTGTCAGACTCGGGTAGACTTGATGGTGCCCCTGCTCTGGAATAAAAAGACTCAAGTTCTAACACTGACTGTGCTATTTACCAGCTGAGTGACCCTAAAGGAGTAAACTTCACTAAGCCTCCATTTTCTCAACTGTAAAACTGAAATAATACTCACCCTTCACAGGATCTATGTGGATTAAATGGTACATGTGCAAGGTATGTGGCACACAGCAGGTGCTCACTAAATGTCAATTCCCTTTCTCTAATCCCATACTGCCCTGTATTTTCTTGCATTGTTATCTGGTTCGATGATTTAACATTCTTTTCCATGTCTTTTCTACTCAAATAGATTCAAACCCTCCTAGAGGAAGGGAATGTCTTAAACTTCTTTTACTTTTTGAGACAGTCTCTGTTGCCCAGGCTGGGATGCAGCGGCGCTATCATGCCTCACTGCAGCTTCAACCTCCCAGGATCAATGATTCTCCCACCTCAGCCTCTCAGGTAGCTAGAGCTACAGGCATGCACCACCACACCCAGCTAATCTTTGGCCTTCTTTTTGTAGAGACAGGGTTTCACCATGCTGGCTGGTCTCAAACTCCTGGGCTCAAGCAATATACCTGCCTCAGTCTCCTAACATGCTAGGATTACAGGCATGAGCCACCACGCCCAGCCTGCCTTATACTTCTTTACTATCTCTACGTAGGTAATCTCATGGCATCTTTTGGTCAGTGTGTAAATGAAATGGAGAGAGGTGGCATCACAGGGTGATTCATACCTGCAGGAGCTGAGTGGCTGTGGCTCTCTGCTCAGGGCTCTTTACAAGACACTGTTTCACAAAATCTGTAAAGTTATCTGACCACAGCTCTGGTTTTCGGAATGTGGGAGGAGGATTTGTAGGAATCATGAAGATTGCCTGGTTAGAACAAACAAACAAAAACATTTGGTAAAAGAAAAGTAATGCTCCAATAAAAAATACATCTGGAATTACATTTGGAACTTTGTAAATATCTTTCACTTATTCACTGAGAAGCTCACCTAAATTCCAACAAAAGTCTAAGCATTTGAAAGTACAAAGCCTGACAGTTAAAGAACCTGATACAGCTCCCGCTTTCCTTTTCCCTCTCTCATATATGGGTCTTGATCCCTAAACCTCATAACATCAATCTAGCTTTATTATTATTTTTATTATCATTATTATTATTATTTCAGTAACCATAGTACCTTGCTTTTCAAAGTAGAAAGGCAAGACCTCAGAGTATGTATATCCTAAAGTTAACCTTGGCCCCATAGTTGTCAAGTTTCCCTGCCTTTAAAAGTTATTACCACCCCTAGATGACAGCAGTAATTACAAGGAGGTCATCAACCAGAGGTCCTAAAAATTGCAATAGAGTCATTAACCTCCAGACTAAGCTAAATCAACACAAGTGTAAGTGGAAAAAAATTTAAAATTGGCCCACTATGTTGCAGTTACATTCTACTATTTCAAAAAATAAGACTTATTTATTAAATTTCCAATTTTAAAAAAGTCATGTGTTTTGAAAAGTAAAACTCTTTACAAATAAGCAGCTTAAATTATGTTATTTAAATCTAAAATTTTAACTAGTAAATCTCCTCACTCCTGCACCCAAAAAAGAGGGAGCACTTACCTTGGGAACATGAATTAAAAAAAAAAAATTAAGTCTTTTAATAGAAGTAATTAATCAGAGAAGAGGAAGAGCTGGGGAAAGGAAGGATAGAGAGGACCACAGCGGCCCTGAGGAAGACAGGGTTGGGGGTCTTACAACAGTGCTTTGATAAGGGGTGCTGGGACAGGTAAAGCCTGGAAACTGTTAAGAGTGTGAGCACTGGAAGGGTTTTACTGGAGATGCATTCTACGGGCTCTTAACAGTCTAGAAGGAGATGGAGGTTGGAGAGTACACAGCCTCCAGATGAAAAGAATCTGAGGATCTACGAACCAGAACTTACAAATTCAAACACATATAGCAGCCAGGCAGAAGAAAGACAAAAACTGAATGAGGCTGGGTTTCAGTGACATGAGTTTAAAAATATAGTTTGCTTTCCTCTTAACACCATGATAAGAAAAATATTAGAGAAATTCTGTAATAAGTGGCAGCTAATACTTGCTGACATAACAGGGAATCACGGAGACTGATAAAGTCGAAAGCTCATACTCTGTATTAAGGAGACAACCGCTACTCAGCTCTAGTGAATGTTGACATGTTAAAATGTGGTTGCCTAAACTATTCAAAGTGAGAGAGAGAATATGTGTGTGTAGCAGAAATCAAACTAAGCATTTCTATGGCCTATGTCCTGCCAGAGGGCAATCAATACACAACCTCTAGAATGGAGAGGGGTGGAACACACTTAAATTAATTAATGACTACAACTAGAGTCAGTAGTAAGTGTATTATGTATAGTGACGCTTATGAATTACACATAATTCATTTATTCAAGTAAGCCATTGAACTAACTTTATTTATTTATTTATTTATTTATTTATTGAGACAGAGTCTCTGTCACCCAGGCTGGAATGTGGTGTCACGATCTCGGCTCACCGCAACCTCTGCCTCTAGGGTTCAAGCAATTCCCCTGCCTCAGCTTCCCGAGTAGCTGGGATTACAGGAGTGTACCACCCCGCCCAGCTAATTTTTGTATTTTTAGTAGGGACAGAGTTTTGCCATGTTGGCCAGGCTGGTCTCAAACTCCTAGACTCAGGTGATCCATCCGCCTCAGCCTCCCAAAATTCTGGGATTACAGGTATGAGCTACAATGCCCAGCCTGAACTAAGTTTTTAATGATGATCAGTAACTAACCATCCTCCTGGCTTTCTGTCCATTTCCTTACCCTCATTGGATGGATATCGGCATAAGGGGGCTTTCCTTCAGCCATTTCTATGGCAGTTATTCCCAGGGACCAGATGTCTGCTACACAGTTGTATCCAATTTCCTGAATCACTTCTGGAGCCATCCAAAATGGTGTTCCTATCACTGTATTCCGCTTGGCCATCGTATCCTAAAATAGAAAGAAGAGAGACCAATACTAAGCTTAAAACTACTGAGATGTCCACAGAGGAAAGGTCTAGAGAAAAAGAAAAGAAAAAAAAAAAAAGACTACTGAGAAAAAGAGACTTTTCCAACAATAAAAAAATGCCTAGCACTTGAAATACCTTTAAAAACCATACTCGGGGCTGGACATGGTGGCTCACACCTGTAATTCCAGCACTTTGGGAGGTCGAGGCAGGTGGATCACCTGAGGTCAACTGTTAAAGACCAGCCTGACCAACATGGAGAAACCCCATCTCTACTAAAAATACAAAATTAGCCGGGCGTGGTGGTGCATGCCGGTAACTCCAGCTACTCGGGAGGCTGAGGCAGGAGAATTGCTTGAACCCGGGAGGCAGAGATTGCAGTGAGCCGAGATGGCACCACTGCACTCCAGCCTGGGCAACAAGAGCAAAACTCCGTCTCAAAAAAAATAAATAAACCATACTCTGAGCATGAACAAGCAGGCACAGAAGAAATCCAAATGACAAAGAAACACACAAAGATTCTCAATTATTAAAACACAAATTAAAGATTGAAAAAAAATTTAAAATAATGCTGACAGTAGCATAGAAAATCAGGCACTGAAATACAATGTTACTGCAGTATAAATTGGTACATTTTACTACACAAGTTGGTAATATTTATTCAACTTTTAAGTACTCATATCCTTTGATCCAAATCTATTTGTTGAAATCTGTCTTAGGTTCAAGTGTCCCAAACTACATGCATAAGGATTGTAGAAATGTTGTAATGGGGGAAACGAGAGGGAAAAAGACACAACTCAAATGACCATCAAAAGATAGTAAGTCAAATATAATAAATAACCATATACTGAAACATCACATTAAAAAGAAAAAAATGGAGATATATACCTTCTCCTAGCATGGAAAAAATGCACAACATACATTACAAAGCAAAAAAAAAAAAAAAGTTTATAGAATTATATATAATATAGCCCTGTTTTTGTAAAAGGAAAATCATATAACAATAATAAAACAATAACCAATAGTAAAAAATGTTTTTATAGCACAAAATTTCTGGAGTAACATATACCAAACTATCAATAATAGTTACATCTAGTCAGCAGAATCATTAAAGATTTTTACTGTCTTTCCTGCATACATCTGTCACATTCTGAAGGTCTACATGAGCATATATGTGCAATGAAAACACTTAAAAATTGATATATAAAAAATAACACACAACATATCTTAGTTTGTGGCCTAAAGAATATGTGGATGTAGTCCACATTACAGCAAATAACCACCTGCATACTTTCCCAGGATGGCATGGCCCTACTGAAAGAGAACCTTCCTATAGTTCCTATGCTTCTAACAAAAGAATTTTTTTTTTAAGGGTTTTTTTGAGACAGAGTTTCACTCTTTTGCCCAGGCTGGAGTGAAGTGGTGCAATCTTGGCTCATGGCAACCTCTGCCTGGAGGGGTTCAAGTGATTATCCTGACTCAGCCTTCCAAGTAGCTGGGATTACAGATGCCCACCACCACACCTGACTAATTTTGGTTTGCATTTTTAGTAAAGACAGGGTCTCGTCATGTCGGCCAAGCTGGTCTTGAACTCCTGACCTCAGGTAACCCACCCACCTCAGCCTCCCAGAGTGCTGGGATTACAGCCGTGAGCCACCACGCCCGACAAAAGAAGGATTTTTAAACAGAACTAAATACAAAAAAGTACTTCCAATCATCATCACTGATATTCCTTCTGAAATGCCTGTGACTTAGGTTATGACAGTCGGAAGTAAATGATAGGTAATTTAAATCAATCTCATCATCAGTCCTACGTAAAAAATTAACACAGGAACTAATTTACTGCTTAGTCATTTCCTTAGCTCTGAAACTTCAACTTTGCAGGGGTGTTTTCAAATGGTGGTAGTCAAAGTTGTTTTCACTGGATTATTTCAATTAGAAATGGTTACTTGGATAGCTAGGAAGTTTTTGAAAATTAGTAAAAGTAATGAGTGTACCCTAACCCCAATTAGATTTGTATTACAAAGTTATATTAGCACAATAGCATAGCAATAAAAAATATGAAGTACAGACATTGACTATGACATGTGTATATATATCATATCATATATATGTATATATAACAACCTGTTGTATATGCCACATACATATGATATGATTTATGATTAAAATGTCATTTAAAATCAGCAAGCAAAGAATAGATTACGAAAAAAAAGTAATGGGAATCTAGTTAGTCATTTGTAAAACTCTACACTTAAATGCCTACCTTACACTTTCACCAAAATAAGTTCAAATAAGTTGAAATTTTAAACGTAAAAAACAAAGCCCGAAGACTACTTTTAAAAAAATACATTAGATGGCCAGGCATGGTGGCTCATGCCTGTAATCCCACCACTTTGAGAGGCCAAGGTGGGTGGATTGCCTGAGCTCAGGAGTTCAAAACCAGCCTGGGCAACATGACGAAACCCCGTCTCTACTAAAAATACAAAAAAAAATTAGCTGTACATGTGATGGTGGGCACCTGTAATCCCAGCTTTTCAAGAGGCTGAGGCACAAGAATTGCTTGAACCCGGGAGACAGATGTTACAGTGAGCTGAGATCACACTACTGCCCTCTAGCCTGGGCGACAGAGTGAGATTCTGTCTAAAATAAATAAGTAAGTAAGTAAGTATATTAGCCAGGCATGGTGGCACGTGCCTGTAGTCCTAGCTACTTGGGAGGCAAGGTGGGAGGATCACTTAAGCCCGGGAGTTCAAGGTTACAGTGAGCTACAATCATGCCACTGTACTCCAGCCTGGGCAACAGAGCAGGTGTGGTGGCTCATACCTCGAATCCCAATACTTTGGGAGGCTGAGGCAGGAGCTCTAGACCAGCCTGGGTAAAATACGGAGAGGCCATCTCTATAAAATATTTTAAAACTTTAACTGGATGAAGTGGCACACACCTGTAGTCTTAGCTACTTGGGAGCCTGACGCTGGAGGATTGCTTGAACTTGGGAGTTCGAGGCCCCAGTGAGCCACAATCATGCCACTGCACTCCAACCTGGGTAACAGGGAAAGACTCTGTCTCAAAAAAATAATAAAAAATAAAAAACCATAGAATAACTGTTCTATAATGTTAAGGAGAAAAGGATTTTTTAAGCATGACATCAAAGACAGAAACCATACGATAAAAGGTAGATGGAGTTTTCTATATAAAATTTAGAAACTTCTGTAGTTTTTTAAAAAGCCATAGTCAACATTAAAAGACAACTAGTAAACTAGAAGATATTTCAACATATACAACAAAGGAGTAACAACTTTAACATAACTATTTTTACTTTTGGTGTTTTTTTTTTTTTAACTGATGTCTTTAAAAGATGCAACACTCAGCCAGACACAACGGCTGAAACCTGTAATCCCAGCCTGCAATCCCAGGCACACTGGCTCAAACCTGCAATCCTGGCATGCCAAGCGGGACAGACTGCTTGAGCCCAGGAGTTTGCAACCAGACTGGGCTACGTGGTGAAATCCTGTCTCTACGAAAACTATAAAAATTAGCTGGCTGTGGTGGGGTGTATGCCTGTAGTCCCAGCTACCCAGTAGGCCAAGATGGGAGGATCACTTGAGCCCGGTGGTTGAGGCTGCAATGAGCCATGATCATGCCATTGCACTGCAGCCTGGGTGACACAGTAAGACCCTGTCTCGTCCCCCAAAAAAATCCAACATTCAATTAGGAAAACTGACACACACAAAAATGAACATTTACAAAAGAATTTTTATAAATGGCCAATAATCAAATGCAAAAATAAGTGAACTGCTTTAAGAAATGGCAAGGAAGATACAAGTTACTGCCCATCCAGCATTAGCAAGTATGAGCGGAAAAAGCACATTTAGATACTGAAGTTGGAAACTGAAATTGTTCACTTCTAGAAGAAATTCAGCAGTATGCATCAAAACCACTTTGGCAATATACATTTACCTATTTTCTGACCCAGATTCCAATGAAAAGAAATTATCCTAAAGATTTACTCAAGGAAATGCTGCAAAATTTAGTTGCAGGAATGTTAATCACAGAGTTTATGTTTATAGTGGTGGGAAAACTCTAAGCAACCTTAATGGGCATCCAACATCCAACTATAGGGAAAGAGTTAAATAAATGAATGAAATAAACAATGAAATACCCATATTGCCACCAGAAATAATATTACAGAGTCTTGGGTAAAGATGACAGCTTGAGCAAATACATTTTACTTTCACTCTCCCTCAAAACTCACTCAGAAAGATACTAAAAGGATTATTTTTTAAGAATAAATCTACAAGAATAAGAAACAATGGGGAAAACAACCACAGCCACAAAATTTTAAAAGCTGGAGAGCAGATGGCCCAGTAGTAACTAACTGAACAGACTACAAAATGGAATCCTGAGTCAGTCACCAGGAAAACTAAGAAACAACCTGATTCTAACACCAACCCCTCCAAAAGGCTTAGAAATTGGTGGCATCACATAGAGAAAAGAGGGGTGAAAACAGACATCAAAATAGGAAGCCTGGGTTTAAAGAGTTAAGAAGCAGCTAAACACCCTAAACCCTCCTCTCGCATAAGGCAACTAGCGGGCTTCCCTTGCCCAACCCTGGCATTAGACTGGAGGTGTATTCTCTGGGGAGTGAAACCAAGGATCTCTAGACTATAGAGAGTGCAGGTGGTGTTGTGAACCAGGAACATTAAGTGAGCATTAACATGCTAACAATCCCCATGCCATCACCACTTCCCAGAAGGCTGCCAACAAGGCCTACAGCCTCCAGACAGGAGACCAGAGAGGGGCCCAAACTTAGTATTGGCGGTTTCACAACCAAACAGCTGAGTCAGATCATCTTATACTACGTTTCAGTTTATTTTAGTGAAGGAAAAAAAAAAAATCTCATCTTTTTAACAAAACAACATACGTGTTCATAGTTAATTTAAAAAGAAGTGTCAGGACACAAGATAATATACAAAAATCAATTATATATTACACTAGCAATGAACAATGTGAAAACAAAGCAAATCCATTTAAAATACTATCAAAAAGTACAAACTACTTAAAGAATGAATTTAACCAAATACATGTAAAACATGTACACTGCAAATTATAAAACGCTGCTAAAAGAATTAAAGAAAATCAGGCAGGACGCGGTGGCTCAAGCCTGTAATATCAGCACTTTGGGAGGCTGAGGTGGGTGGATCACGAAGCCAAGAGATCGAGACCATCCTGGTCAACATGGTGAAACCCCGCCTCTACTAAAAATACAAAAATTAGTTGGGCATGGTGGCGCGTGCCTGTAATCCCAGCTACTCAGGAGGTTGAGGCAGGAGAATTGCCTGAACCCAGGAGGCGGAGGTTGCGGTGAGCCGAGATCGCGCCATTGCACTCCAGCCTGGGTAACAAGAGCGAAACTCCATCTCAGGAAAAAAAAAAAAAAGAATTAAAGAAAATCTAAATAAAATGGAAAGACAGTTTATGTTCATAGATTGGAAGACAATATTGCCAAAATGGCAATATTTCCCAGCTGATTTAAGATTCAAAACAATGTCTACCAAAATCCCAATAGTCTTTTCTACAGAAATTGACAAGCTGATTCCAAAATTTATATGGAAATACAAGGGACCCAGAATAGCCAAAATAATCTTGAAACAGAAGAACAAAGTTGGAGCACTCACATTTAACCAATTTCAAAACTTACTTCAAACTTACAGTAATCAAGACAGCACAGTACTGGTGCAAGGACAGACATATAGGTCAATGAAACCAAATCGACACAGAAATAAACTCATATATTTCAACAAAGAAAAAAACGGTCTTTTCAACAAATGTTGAAACAACTACTTATCAACATGCAAAAAGAATGAAACTGGATGCCTACCTTACATCATGAAAACTAACTCAGAACAAATTACAAAACTAAATATAAGAGCTAGAACTATTAAACACTTCAAAGAAACCACAGGAGTACATCTTCATGACCCTGCATTAGGTATTGATTTCTTAGATGTGACACCAAAAGCACAAGCCACAAAAGAAATAAGAAACTGGACATGACCAAAATTTAAAATTTTTATATTTCTAAGGACATCTTCAAGACAACCCACAGAATGAGAGAAAATATTTGCAAATCATGTACGTGATAAGGGACTTTTATCTAAAATATATAAAGAACTCTTACAACCCAACACTAGAAAGGTAAATACCCTATTTAAAATGGGCAAAAGATTTAAAGAAACATTTTCCCAAAGATACACAAATGTCCAATAAGCAGAAGAAAAGACAGTCAACATCATTGGTCATTAGTAAAATGCAAATCAAAACCACAAAGAGATACTACCTCATACTCACTAGGATGGTTATAATCAAAAACACAAAAAAGAACAGGTGTTGGCACGGATGCAGAAAAGTTAGAATTCTCACACATAGCAGTGGGAACATAAAATGCTGAGCCACTCTAGAAAATAGTCTGGCAATTCCTTAAAAAATTAAACACAGAGTTACCATGTGACCCAGCAACTCTGTATATCATATGAAAACAAAGATTCACATAAAAAACTGTACACGAATTTCATAGTAGCATTATTCCTAACAGCCAAAAAGCAGAAACAATCTAAATATTAACCTACTGAGTAAGTAAACAAAATGTGTCATAGCCATTAAGGAATATTATTCAGCCATAAAAAAGAATGAAGAATTGATGCATGTTACAACGTGAATGAACCAGAAAACATTGTTAAATGAAAGAAGCCAAAAACAAAAGGGCACATCATGTATGATTCTATTCATATGAAATACTCAGAATAGGCAAATCTATAGAGACAGAAAGTAGATTAGCGGTTGTCAACGGCTGGGGTGAGAACGGGGAGTAACTGCTAAAGGGTGCAGTTTATTTTGCGGATGATGAAAACGTTTTGGAATTAGACATCTGTAATAGATGCACAATTTTGTGAATATACTAACACTGAATTAAAAGGGTAGAAAAATTCTGCCAAGGCAGGAATTATAGCAATAAGAACACTGAAAGTCATTATTAGGTAAGTCATTATCGGTTAACCAATTACTAAAACTATTACTATGGAATAGATACTCTTATTTTAATATTATCTATATATACATATAATTTTTTTTTTTTGAGACAGAGTCTCACTCTGTCACCCAGGCTGGAGTGCAGAGTGCAACGGCGTAATCTCAGCTCACTGCAACCTCCGCCTCCCAGGTTCAAGCGATTCTCCTGCCTCAGCCTCCCAAGTAGCTGGGATTATAGGAACATGCCACCATGCCCAGCTAATTTTTGTGTTTTTAGTAGAGGCTGGGTTTCACCATGTTGGCCACACTGATCTCAAACTCCTGACCTCAAGTGATCCTCCCACCTCAGACTCCCAAAGTGCTGGGATTACAAGGGTGAGCCACCACACCCAATCAATATTACATTTTTTTATATAGCACAAGACGATATATTTTTTCAATTTGGTTTCCTTACTAAGATTGTGGTTTAGATAATATTGTCTGGTACTGTTTGTGTGTTAACAACAAAAACCTTTGGAGAGTCCACAAATCAAAATATTGAATAAGCTTCTGATTTATTTTAAACATCAAAGCAATTTCTGTGCTGTTACAATACCTGAGACTCCCTAACATGTCCCAGGCAGATTTATAATTAAAAAAATAAAAAATGTACATAACACCAGTTCTAAACACACACTATATTCATTCTACCACCCCAGAAAACCCCTTGATATGTAATATTGTTGCAAATTTTAGTGTATTTTAGTGTATACCTGCCTAGAACTGTTTCTATTTTTCTATATATACTTTCACATATACTTATGTATTTTATAGAACCAAATAATTCTAGACTTCTTATTTTGAAAACAAGTTTTTATTTTTCTTCTTTCACTTCCATGCACTAGTTAGGCAGGAGAAGAATCAAGAGACTGTATCCTGGAATCAAACGAAGAGATTGTTTTCGGTACAGTAACTGCCAAGTACTACCTGAAGGTTGAAAAATGTCTTAGTCAAGGAAAGCATCTGGACTTAATTTTTCTTCCTTTTATAAATATATTGATGTAATCCACTAGAGTAATCTACCCTTTCTTGTTTTACTTTTCATCTTTATAAAATTTAAACAAAGTTAAGCTATGTGACCTGAACTCCAGGAAAAGATCTAAAATAACCCACTGACCAGTTCTTTTGTAACCTATTGGTAGATTCTGTAACTTGTTACTAATACAATTAAATCAAGCATTATATTTTAAAAATAGGTAAATAAAAGGAACTGTTTCTCAGGACAAAACCGAAAATTATCAATACCAGTAATATTTTTACTTACTGTAAGTTGACCTGCTACCCCAAAATCTGCAAGTTTTGCATGTCCTTCTGTATTTAGCAAAATATTTCCTGCCTTGATATCTCGGTGTATTTTTCTCATAAAATGAAGGTACTCAAGTCCCTTAAGAGTTGATTGTAATATTGTAGCTATTTCATCTTCTGTTAACTGAAAAAAGAGTAAGAAGTTCAAGTTCTATCAGTTTACATCAGCGCAGTAGAAAAAGGAGAAAAAATTAGATCCAAACACCTTCTTGAATATAAACAGATCTTATTCAACCTGTGAACGGCATGACTGCTTATACCATAGATACACTGACCACTCCCAAAGCTGTATTTCCATATCAGATCTCCCCTCACTCAGATTTATGTATCTGCCTAAACAACATCTCCAACTGGAATGCCTAGCCTGCATCATAAGCATAACATGTCAAAATCAAACTCTTTATGTCTACCACCTTACTCTTCTCCCTCTGATCCATCCAACCTGCTCTACTTCTCCCAGGGTCCTCCCTCTCTCAGTAAAAGGAAACTTTACTCTTTCAGTTGCTCTGGCCAAAAACCTTGAAGTCATCCTTGACTCTTCTCCATCTTCAAAATACTGTATATCCAAATACCCCCTCTGTAATCACTGTGATCCAAGTCACCATTGTGCCCTGCCTGTGCTATTCTCATGATCTCTTGTCTGGTTTCTTTGTTTCTGCCCTTGATGCTCTACAATGTACTTTCCACACAGAAGCTATAATAAAAACATAAGCCAGAGTCAAAACCTATCAATGTCCTCCTAACTCACTTAAAAGTCAGTCCTTACCAAAACTTTACATGATCTGCCTCCTAGCTACCTCTTCAACTTCATCTTCTACCACTTTCTACCTTGCTCAATCTGTTTCAAAAAGGGCTTGCTTCCTTGCTGTTCCTCAAACACTCTAAGCATACTCCCCTTTCTGGGTCCTTTCAACTGCCTATTCTCTTCATCCTGATGTCTATCCAGTTTGCTTGCTCACTTTGCTATCTGCACAAATGCCACCTCCTCAGAAAATGGAGAGGGCTTTCCTACTCCATTTCTAGCTCATTCTCTACTCCCTTAAACTACCTTGTCACTACTCCCTTAAACTACCTTGTCACTGCAGTATACTACCATCTGACATATTACCCATTATTTATCCATTTATGTGATGTCTTCCCTGTTAGAAACACAAGCTCCTAAAAATGTCTGATTTGTTTACTTTTGTTTCCCTAACACCAACAAAGTCACCTGGCACACAGCAGACACTGAAAAAAAAGTATCTGTTGAACGATGATAAATAAATGAAAGTGAGAATACTAGAAACTAGTATAGAATATCTCATCTGTCCAACACAGAATTTGTGCAGATCCAACACTAGTCCTAAACAAACTCAATCTATCAAAAAACTGTTACAGTTTCCCTTCTGACAAACAACTCAGATGTGAAATGGAGTGTGCTCTGGTGCAAAAACTATAGGATATGGGATTAGGAAGATGTAGCTTTTACTCTTGGCTCTACTTTCATGTGACTTAAGCAAGTTACTGACCTTCTCTTGGTCTGTTTCCCAATCTACAAAATAGGAATATAACTTTTCTTTAAGAGTGTCATGAAAATCAATTAATATAAGGCATCATAATTTAATACTCACGATATTATCAATCAATATTTAATAAGCACCAGGTACTGTGCTAATAATATGAAAAACAGCCAAGCATGGTGACTCAAGCCAGTAATCCCAGAACTTTGGGAGGCCAAGGCAGACGGATCACTTGAGGCCAAGAGTTCAAGACCAGCCTGGCCAACATGGCGAAACCCCATCTCTACTAAATATACAAAAATTAGCCAGGTGTGGTGGTGAGCACCTGTAATCCCAGCTACTCAAGAAGCTGAAGCGGGAGAATCACTTGAACCTGGGAGGTGGAGCTGAGATCGTGTGTATTCCAGCCTGAGTGACACAGCCAGATTCTGTCACAAAGTATACATATATATATATATATGTATAATGGCTAACTGTTACTAAGTATTTAATCTATACTAGCACTATGTTTGTAATCTCATTTAATCCTTATAACTAAATGAAGTAGAGGAACTATTATTATCATCACCATTTTATACATAATGAAGCAGAGGCATAGACAACTTAAGTGGTTTATGCCAAGGATCAGAGAGATATTGTTAAAGCTTTCACTAAAATCCAGGCAAACACTATTGGCAAGGTAGTAGGCTAGAGTTTGGGGTACCTTCTGTAGTGGAAGAGAACAAAGGTCATCACTTGATTTGCCACCTCTTTATTCTAATCAGCTAAGCTAATCAGTTAAAGTAGCACTGCCTAATAGAAATATACTGGGAGCCACAAATATGATTTTTAATTTTCTAGTAGCCGCACTGAAAAAGGAAACAAGTAGGAGCAGTGGCTGGTGACTGTGATCCCAGTTACTCGGGAGGCTGAGGCAGGAGGATCATTTGAGCCCAAGAGTTACAACATGCAGTGACCTATGATCACACCACTGCACTCCAGCCTGGGCAACAGAGCAAGAGGAAAGAAAGAAAGAAAGAATCAATTTTGATCATCTATTTTACTTAACCATTATTTATCAAAAATATCACTCAACCATGTCATCAATATGAAAAAATTAAAAGACTTTTTAAAATAACTTTTTGGTAATAATTCTTCAGACTCTGGTGTATAATTTATATTTACAGCATATCTCAGTTCAGACTAGCTACATTTTAAATCCTTAATAATCACATGTGGCTAGTGGATATCATGGTAGACAGGGTAGAGTTTTAATACTTAGCAAAGTAATGTGTAGTAATTAAAAATCAGCACTTAGTAATTAAGTTAAAATTTACATAAATAAACTAATATTACAATGGCAAAAAATCACCAAAAGTGCCATCAAAATTAATTTTGAACTGGCTTAAAATAATGGAAATAAAATGACTTGATGCTACATGTAAGAAGCCCTGAAGTCCAATTTTTAATTGAATAAATTATTCCAGTTTTGGAACTTCTTTACATATATCTTATGTTAGGATATTATTCCTAGCTAAAGAACTTGCTATTTGATTAGGCAAACACACTAATTCTGAATAATGTAAATCAAGAAGATGGTATATGAATAATCCAAAAATTATAACTCAGTTTTAAAACACCCCCACCTTCTAATTTGTGTAGCACCTCACAATTTACAAAGTATTTTTATATATTTAATTTTCCCAACTTTGCAAATATATAATATAGGCATTATTCTTATTTTTCTTATTAAGAAAAAAAAAAAACTTAAGGCTAAGATTTCCCCTGTTTCTTCTCTTATCCAGCCACAATCTACACAGAAGCCAGAGTTAACTTTTTTATTTTTTGAAACAGGGTCTCACTCTGTTGCCCAGTGCACAGCAGCCTTAACCTCCTGGGCTCAAGCAATTCTCCCACTTCAACCCCATCATACCCCAAAAGGAGCTGTGACTACAGGTGCATGACACCACATCTAATTTTTTCTTTTTTCTTTTGTAGAGATGCGGTCTCACTATGTCACCCAGGCTGTCCTCAAACTCCTAGGCTCAAGCAGTCCTCTGCCTCAGCCTTCCCAAGTGCTGGGGATACAGGCTTGAAGTGGCACACCCAGCCCCAGAGTTATCTTTCTAAAACACACATCAGATGGTTCGCTCACTTGCTAAGAATCCAGCAATAGTTTCCTATCATACCTGAGATGAAATGCAAACTCATTCCTACGACCTACAATATCCAACACAATCTAGGCCTGCCCACCTGTCGAACTTCATCTCCTACAGCTTCTCCTCGGCCTATTCTCTTCCAGTCATGGTAGCCTTTCTATCACTCAGACATGCCAAACTCATTCCAGCCTCAAGGTCTTTGTGCTGGTTATTGCCCACCCTGAACGTTCCTTCAGGACTCTTAGCTCCTTTCTGTCATTTGAGTCTTCCTGTAAATGTTACCAATTCTGAGTGACCGTTCTCAACTATCTACTCTAAAATAGCCCACCAAGCACTCTCCATAACTTTACCATCACTTCATCCTCATTCCTTTTCTTCATAGTATTTGTCATTATTCTATCTTTTCTATTAAGGCCATCATTAATTTGTTTTGTTGCCCTATTCCAAAGTGCACTGCCATGATAGCAGAGCTGTCATCTGTTTTATTTGCTGCTGGATCCCTCAGGCCTAAAGCAGTGTTCAAGAAATATTTACCGAATGAATACATAAAGAGATTAAGTAACTGAACCAGAACTAGAACCCATGACTCCTAGGTCTTATACTGGCAACCACAGTTAACAGCAAATAATCTTTCATAAGGGGATTATTCTCTGATTAACAGGAAATAGAGGAAGTTAAGCTGTGAACATGCTAGGTAGAAGCAGAAACCCAAATCCAAATCCAAATTTAAACATTTAAAATTCATTCTATAAACAAAATTTAATAGTCATTTTTTTCCCAGTAAGAAATAAGCAAAGCATGCTAAAAAAATCACTGGACTAAACTGGCATTAAAACTGCCACATTGCCAGGCATGGTGGCTCATGCCTGTAATCCCAGCACTTTGGGAGACTGAGGTGGGAAGATTGCTTGAGGCCAGGAGTTCAAAACCAGCCTGGGCAACATAGTGAGACCCTGTCTCCACAAAAAAAAAAAAAAAAAAATTAAAAAACAAAACAAAACATTAGCTGGGCGTGGTGGTACACACCTGTAGTCACAGCTACTCAGGAGCCTGAAGTGAGAGAATCACTGGAGCCCAAGAAGTAGAGGCTATAGTGAGCTATGACTGCACCACTCTACTCCAGCCTAGGTAACAGAGTCAGACTCTTGTCTCATTAAAAAAAGGAAAAAAAAAGCTGTCAGACTTAGGAGACTTTTAAGAGTTAGGAGGGAAAAGAACCAAAGAAAAGGGAAAATCTGACAGTCATCTCTCTAGCAGGAGAATGCACTGAAAAAGGGGCAAGAGAAAAGAAGATGCCATAAGAGACTGGCAGCTGCATTGTTCTAGAAGGTAAACCTACCGTTTTATTTCGTAATCGAATGATATCAGATACAGAACCAGCCCCACAGTACTCCATAACGATCCATAAGTCTGTGTTCTTAAAGTAACTGCCATAATATTTGACTACATGATGACTAGAGAGAGAGAGAATACAAATTAATAAAATGGCCTTCAAAAATCTCTCAATTCATGCTATTAAGTATATACAAATTAATTCCCCATCTGGAACGATCAATTATTCATAGTTAAGGACAAAACGGGCAACCTCCTGATAGAAATGCAAAATGGTATAGCTTTGCTGGAGGGTAATAAATCATAAAAATATAAAAATGCGTGGGTCCTTTAATCAGCATTTCTATGTTTATCCTCAAAATTTATCCTCAAAAAAGAATTACAAATGTTCAAAAAGTAACAATTACCATCATAGCACTATTGATGAAAGTGGAAATTTAGATATCATCTAAATGTCCATTCAACATTAGTGAGTTTTTTTAAGAAATAATAATACAGCTATATAATATCATGAATCCATGAAAAATGTTAAAGAGAAGTATTTGATAACATGAGAAGATACTGTGTTTACAAAAACAAACAAACAAGGCAGGCTAATAAAACAGTTAAGTATTGTAAAACTCCAAAGAGATCGGGAAGAATATGTGTATCAAGCAGTATTTAATAATGATGATTTCTCCAAAGGGAAAAGTGATCTTATTTTCTTTTAATTTGAATTTTTCTAAGAAGTCATATGTACTTCTAATGAAAACACACACACACACTACAATCTATTATAAAGAAAAAATGTTCAGGATCAAACCTCAAATGTTAGGTCTCATGCTGGAAGAGAGATACCAAACAAGAAATTTCAGAGAAAAATCAAATATCCCATTAAAATGAAATAATGTGCCCTCTGAGAGCTGCCAGCTTTAACTGGCTAGATTGCTGTCATGGCCATTTAAAGTTTCATAACAACTGATGCTCAAACCAAATTGGCTTCATTAACTTAGAACTCTTAGAATTTCCTGTTCGAACCTTGGGAAACATGCCAGTGACAAGGACAGCAAAACACACACACACACACACACACACACACACACACACACACAAACACACACAAAGTATTAATGAAAAAGTGTCTTAAGGTAAATATCAACACATTTGCTCTCCCTGTAATACAGGACTTACAGGAGTTAAGTACTATAGGCCATTACTAACAGGTATTTACTACTGGAATATATTCTCTACAGTCTTGCATTGTTAGCTAGATTCTCCTGTACATATATATGTACTTAGCCTGTCCAATTAGTCTATAAACTCCCAGAGCACAAGGACTCTGCTCTGTTGCTGTATTCCTTACAGTGCTTAGCAGAGTAGACTGTTCAAAACATCTCTTCTCTAATAAAGACATTTCCATACCCTGTTTGGAACATAGCTCCTAAAAAGTCTATTGAAAAGTGACAAAGTCCAAATTTGCCAAATGGAAAGAACTTCCAAAATGTATCTCAAAGAGGAGAAAATGGAAAACTGCCACCTTCATCTAGTCAATCCAATCAAGAAAAATGGGGATTTCATCTAGTAGACAGTAATCACAAAAATAGAAGGAAAAAAAAAAAGGAGAGAGGAAGAAAAGAAAGGGCTGCATTCCCAAGTCTGTAAAACTAAAAGGCTTCTGGACTAATTTTCTGGTAGGTAGCCCCACCTACCCTAATGTAGAAGTTTTACAAACAGGAGGTACTAAGTTGATCTGATAACCAAAAAGCCTTCAGAAGAATGAATGCAGCCTCAACTGAAAGAATTTCTCACCCATCTTCAACCCCCTAGGGCTGGCATTGCCCCTAACCTTCTGTTTGTCTCTAAACAGTGCTGGGGAAGCCTCCTCTATCAGTGACCAACCCATGTTGTCATGGAATTTCAGAACAAACCACGTGGTTTTCTGTGGTTGTCTTTTGGTCTGACTTCCTGCTTTTACAGCATTTGACAAATCTTAGTTCCTCAAAAATAAATACTTAAGTACTCTCAGCTAGAATAATTTTTGTTAATGTGACAGAACAAACAGTTATAAATAACTACTCTCTTTTTATAGATTTACCTGATATTCTAAGGTTTCTAGAACTAAATAACATTTGAATTATCTGTTCTAAGCTATCTCTGCAGAAATGTTTTCTCAATAGGAAGTAAAAAAGATCATTATCTCACAGACACACACAAAAAGCAAGCACCACCTTCTGCCTCTTCTTCCTAATTTCTAAAAGGGCTCACTGAAAAGAAAAAAAGCCAGCGGTGGTTCGCTCTTGTAATTCCAGCACTCTGGGATTTGACTGAGGCAGGTGGATCTTTTGTGGTCAGGAGTTCAAGACCAGCCTGACCAATATGGTGAAACTCCGTCTCTGCTAAAAATACAAAAAAATTAGCAGAGTGTAGTGGCACATGCCTGTAGTACCAGTACTTGGGAAGCTAAAGCATAAGAATCGCTTGAACCTGAGAGGCGGAGGTTGTAGTGAGCCGATTGTGCCCTGCACTCCAGCTTGGGCAACAGAGTGAGACTCCGTCTCAAAAAAAAAAAAAAAGAAAGAAAAATTGGGTGAACAAAATGCCATGCACAAATAAAAACTACACAAGGTTAGCTACAAAAAAAACTTTTTCATCATCTTTTTTCTGAAAAGAACATGCACAGTGATTCCACTGAATTCTCCCTTCCACAAAATATCTAAGTAAATGTGTCTCTAGGTGTCAAACTCTAAACAATCACAGCAAATTCAAAACCACATTCTCCCCAAAGGAAGCCCACATGCCTTTACCTGTCACATTGCTGCATTATAGAGATTTCTTTGATTATCTCCTGCAGGTCTGATTCCACAGGAACTTGCTTAATAGCAACAATCTGACCAGTCTCTTTATGAATAGCTTTGTAAACGCTGCCATAAGACCTATAAAATTGGGAGAAGAACATTTATAAACTCAAAGCAAGCCAAGATATAAGAAGTGGTAAAACACAAGCAACTGATAGTTCTAACGTATATCCCTAAGTACCTAATACATATACACTTGCAAAACTAAAATAGCTACAATACTTTGTGGCGGGTGGAACTGTCACAAGAACTACAACAAAATGGCATCTTGAAAGCTTCACATTCAAAGCATATGTTCTCTCCACATCTATACTGGGGTACAATATGGAAGTGGCAGTCTTTGTTTTATTGCATTCACTCTGGTACCTACCACAAGATCTTTCTGTCCTTGCTCCTTACTTACGATAATTCTTAAAATATTATGGGAACCAATTAAAATCTAAGCCTGTTTAATGTTAGTATCAGGTAAACACAGCACACACACACACTCTTTGCTTCCTACTCCATCTTCCCTTAACAGCTTAATACCAAAATTAAGTTTATGTATCTAGTCAATTTGGAGGCTATAAGACCATTAGATGTAGAACGTAAAGATGCTGGATTTGAGTCTTACCAACAATACATTTTAGTTATCATTTACAGACACATTATTAACCTTGTCGTACCTGAATTTTCTTATCTGTAAAATGACAACAATACAAACTACCTTATAAGATATGATGTTATCTCATTTGTGATGGTCAAATGAGATACCGTCATCACTTCATATAGATTACATTTTCATTAGAATCCTGGGCAGCTGTCAGTGAAATAATACTGAGTAAATTGTCTTTCATATTTCCCAAACACACCTGTATCTTCACACTGTCTTGGTGAAAAAAAAAATCAAAATAACAGTACCACCTACTATGTCAAAGTAGTGAAATACTCTAACTGCCAAATAGATGCTCAAGAACTGTTACAACGTGAAAGGAACAGAAAACGTTTTAAGTCTATGCAGAGCACATAAAAAAATTTCCATTCCATTAGAAGTTGTCATTCTTGTAAAACTAGTACAATGATCCTTAAATATGGCACCAAATACTTTTTGCCAGAGAGAGCCTCCTGTTGAGCATGTGAGAACGACCCAATCACTGTCCCTTCTTCCCTGCTAAAATAACTCCCTAATTTGTAACGGTAGTGATGTGCTTGGTCCCAAGAGATATACTATGGTAGTCCAAGCCAACCACAGAATTCCTATTTCCTTCTGCCAGTAACTGAACTACTGACGAACATGTCACCCAGTTCCGGCCAATGAAATTTGAAGACAATTCTGCTGAAGGGTTTCTGGGAAAGACTTTCTTCTGTGGTAGGAGACATGCACACAAGAATGCCCATTTCCACTTGCCCCTTTCTTTCTTACTTTTGTTAATGCCATGAGAGGGATGATGCTTGAAACTAATGCAGCCATTTGAGACTATGAGAATTACCCAGATGTCAAGCCATTATCAAGCCAATTAACCACTTCTTGGCTCTCACACCCCCAAATGTATTTAGTTATTAATGTCTCCATTGGTTAGCCACTGTTCATTAGATATCGTTACTTCCATCCAAAGGCATTTTTGATATATTAGCTCCTGTATGTCTGAAACTGTCTTTATTTCACCTTCACTCTGGAATGATAGTTTGGTTGGATACCAGATTCTTTGACAACTTTCCCTCAGCACTGTTACTGCAGTGTTCCAACATCTGTTGTGGCTGAGAAGTCTGCTTTCATTAGATTATCACTGTCCATGGGTAATCTCTCCATAGCTTTTAAGGTGTCCTCTTTGTCCGTAACAGTCTACTATTGTACTGTAATATAACTAGTAGTTGATCTGGCACTTCATACGCTTCTTCAATCTGAGGGCTCATGTCTTTCCTCAAGAATGAAAAATTCTCAGCATTATTCTTTGATTATTTCCTCTATCACTTCTAGGATCTTCTTCTAGAATTTCTACTGAAACTGTATTAGATCTCCTCAATCTATGCTGTCTTCCTGGTTTCCAAAATTGTATTTCTCTCTTCTGCATTTTGTGATCAGTCTCATTCCTATCTTTCAATTCAAAAATTCTTTCATTTTGTTTAGTTTACTGTTCATCCAATGTATTGGGCTTTTAGAACTTCAATTGTTGTAGTTTTCATTGTCAAGATTCCCAACATTTTATTTGCCTTTGGGCCAATGTGTTAATAATCATGTTAATCATCTGATGTTCTTATCCCCTCCTTGATCTTTTTGAAAATTATAATCATATTAAATCACTTTTAAGACTGCTCTATTATTTCTTTTTCCTTCAGTGTGAATTCTCCCATTCTGTGGAATTTCTTATGGCAGTGGATTTCCTTGTATGGATTTCATTTTATCTTGAATGATTTTCCTCTATACAACACTCACTGTCAGATGGTTTCACGGTTCCCTTAGTATAGTCGTCTGGGCTGTACAACTTAAACCAGGTCTTATCTTCAGAGTTTGGAGATTTTGCCCTTCAAGATACCATACTTAAATACAATCCAGGCTCAGTTCCTATTATCGAACCAGTATATCCACTTTTTCCCTAGGACACAGGCAAATGACACTTTCTGACGGCAGTCAAGCACATTTATTTGAACTTTAGTTCATAGATGGAGGGCTGAGATTCAGCCCCCAATTTCATGTAGGAAGCTCAAATGCAATCTTTTGACAAGGATAAGGCATGCTTTAGTCTCCACTTATTATTTAGATTTCTTTCCTATCCCTTGTCCATAGCTGTTTATATATCCTTATATTTAAAAGAATTTTGACTCATTATTCTTATGTATTAGAAAGTTCTCTGCATACACTCATTCAGCAACCTTGACCAGAACCTCCCTGGATAACAAGGAAAACTCCAATAGCTCATAGGAAATTAAGATTCCTGGCCCAGCGCGGTGGCTCATGCTGGTAATCCCAGCACTTTTTGAAGCAGAGACAGGTGGACCACCTGAGGTCGGGAGTTCAAGACCAGCCTGACAAACATGGAGAAACCCTGTCTCTACTAAACATACAAAATTAGCCAGGCGTGGTGGCGCATGCCTGTAATCCCAGCTACTCAAGAGCCTGGGGCAGAAGAATCACTTGAATCTGGGAGGCAGAGGTTATAGTGAGCTGAGATCGTGCCATTGCACTCCAACCTGGGCAACGAGAACAAGACTCCATCTCAAAAAAAAAAAAAAAAATGAAGAAAACCTGCACATTCTGCACATGTACCCCAGAACTTATTATAATTAAAAACAAAACAAAACAAAACAAAACAGATCCTTGATTCTATGAACTGTATTTACAGTAATCTGAAGGGGGGGTTAAATCACACTCACAAGCAAGTACCTTAAAACTTGATTCCCTACAATAAAATGAGATGATTCAATGAATTACAACTGACAGCAAAGAATAGAGAAGTAGGTGTTTTACTTAAGCCATGCAAGGCAAGAATCTATGCAGAAAAATGGAAATACTACAGTATCTGAGGACAAATTAACGAGGTACAAGTCTTAACAATAGTACTCATTTTTTATGAAACCATGGGCAAGATGCTTTTGTTATCCTTCTATGATAAAAACTAAGTCCGTGTGTACAACTTTGAGAAAAAAAAAGGTGCTAGGCTCCACTTCAAAACACTTTCCAAGCGCTCTCCATTCATCCTGGTCTGGAGCTTTGGCTCCACTCTGCCACAGATCCATATGATTTCCTCACAACACAGAATGACTGCAGATTCCAGAATCCAACAGTTCCTTTAGCCAGAGCTCATTTCACAAGATACAAGTCAGTAAGAGTTCACGATCCATTCATTCTCCAGAACAATTTAAGAATAGCATTGCATCACGTGTATGGAAAAGAAGTGTAGTGAAGGTCTTCCTTCAAAATATTCCTAGTTAAATGAGGCTTGCTTAGGTTCATTCAGTCAGAATGACAGAAATCCAAGAAATACCAGAAATCTGGTATCATTTAGAAGAGCAGTAAGGTGATAGCATGGGAAGAAAGATCTGAAGCTTTGTTCTCTCCCTGGTGATATCTTCATAGGGAAATTTCCACATTCCTTACAGACATCCATAGATCTAAAATGCCATTTGTCCAGATGCAGTGGCGCACATCTGTAATCCCAGCACTTTGGGAGGCTGAGGTAGGAGGATCACTTAAGGCCAAGAGTTCGACACCAGCCTGGGCAACACAGTGAGACCTTGTCTCTACAAAAATAAATAAATAAATAAATAAATAAATAAATAAATAAAATACAATTTAAAAAATCATAATTAGCTTTTTTTGTTTACATTATATTCCTGATATATTCTCTGTCTATAGTTTTTCTTTGACATTCCACAAACTCAATCAGCCCAAACAGAGCTACCTGTAAGAACACCTAAATACACTTTAAGACTTGACATGATGAGGTCTCAAAAATACTTCAGTTGATACATTTAAAAATAGAATAGTAATAGTTGCCATCTACTGAGCATTTATTATTGTGACAAGCACTATACTTTACCCCAGTTACCCTCAGGTAACAACATAACTCTATGAATCGATGTATTATTATCCCGAATTTACAGATGAGGATTGTAAGCCTCCAAAATAGTAAGCAATTTGCTCAAACTCATGTGTCTATTATGACCAATAAACAGTAGAGCAAGGATTTTAACCCAGGTCTGCCTCACGTTATAGTAGTAAGAGCAAATTTTATTAGAAATGAGAAAAATAAGTTAGTCACACAGTCAATTATGCCTAGCAGTCTTTATCTTATTCTAAGCATAACTTATGAGCATTGTTAGATTAAAGGCCATAGCCTTGCTGCCTAAGGAAAATAGCAAAGATGCCAAGCTAAGCTGAAAATGGCAGGCAACAGATGCAGAGGGACTGTCATTTCCCCATACCTTTAATAATGCCAGTCAACTGGCAGTCTTCAGATTCATCTTGGACTTGTCTTTTCGCAGCACAGCTGGTGTATCATCTTTTACTTCCCTTCTCTGCTTGATTTCTTGCTGGATTCCAAAAAGCATTTTTCCAACTTACAAAAAGACGATGACTAATGTTTTTTACAAGGAGGTAAATCATGAAAAACCACTTCATGTAATCCAGGATTGGGTTTAACGTTGTAAATCTGTGTCCTAACATAAAAAATACTAAACCCCAAAAACTATAGGAATGGGAAGGAAATGATTTTAAAGAGCATATAGTCAACAGTCAGTAGTTGTTTTTACAAGTTAGTATGTTAGGTCTTCCCTTGAATCAGAAATACTCCCAACGGATTAAAAATAGACAGACAGATACACACACAGGCACACACACACACTTATACATGCATAACCTGTTTCTGAAAGATATACAAGAAGCTGCTACCCTGGGTGCTTCTGGGTAGCTAAGAGACAGAGGTAGGAGGAATCCTTTTTATTGTATGCATCTTAATTTTTTTTTTAAATTTTGAATTATATGATTGTATTACCTATTCAAAAATTAACAAGAAAAACTTAAGAAATGGTGTCCTTAACATTTTAATTTCCTGGTCATTACAAAAGAAGGAATAAATACACAGGATTGAATTAAAAGGATATATAAAAGTATAAAAATTATGTAAACTTTATTGTATCATGAAAGTCAATGATGGTCACTGCACATTACTAATATCACTCATCAGTATTTTATAAACTCATTAACAAACCTGTGTTTCAAGAAATCCACTGGCTGACAACCTGGGATTGTGGATCTCCTAAGTAGCTGCGAAGATGGTACTAGTCCTTGATTTCTTTATTATATTTCACAAAGGTACAAATATGAAAATGCTAAATTCCACCAATTTTCATTGAAACAGCTATTGTATACCAATCAGAAATTATGAGCAGCAAATAAACAAATGTCTGATAGAATTATAATCGAATTAGTGCTATCTGTTAAGTAGATAAAATCATACAAACCATAGATTCTACAAAAGAGAACACAATAGAAAGTCTTCGTATTAAAAAGACCAGGAATCACTAAATCTGTCTATAATAGTGATTGGGGTAAAGTGAAGAAGGACATCACAAGCTATAAATTTACCTTCCACCCCTCCTAAAGCCATGCTGAAAGGTTCATATCCTCCTGATTCTGGGGCAGGAAAAAGACTGGGACCCACTGGCCTACCACAGTTTCTTTACACTCACCCTTCTCCAAGTTTCTCTAAAACATCAAACACTTCTTCTGGTTGTTTGGTTAAACTATCTTCATCCAATTTTTTCAGCTGCCTGTGAATGAAGAAACATAAACACAAAATATATTTTATTTCCTAGCAACTAGAACATAAAATATATCAATTATTTTATAATTAGCATCCCAGGAACTTCTCTACACAGTACTCACTAGTAAGACCTTTTTAAGAAACAGGGTTTCACTGTTGTCCAGACTGGGGTGCAGTGGTGTACAGCTCACTGTAACCTCAAATTCCTGAGCTCAAGCAATCCTCGTGCCTCAGCCTACCAAGGAGCTGGACTACAGGCTCCTAACACTGTGCCTGGCTAATTTTTTTTCTTTTTTGGAGAAATGGAGTCTTGCTATTACCTACACTGGTCTCAAACTCCTAGCCTCAAGCAATGTTCTCACCTCAGCCTCCCAAAGCACTAGGATTACAGGCATGAGCCATCACACCTGGCCTGAGAGACTGTTCTAAAAGATGACACTTATTCTGGGTCACTCTGATAAGCAAAATCAGGACCAGCATATGGAGGGATGCCAAGAGTCAATCTTTAATTCAAGTTGTGTAGAATTTTCTAACAATAAAAGTTGTCCTACATAATGGTTTGGACTGCCGTAAGAGGTCCTTAGGTCCCCACTACTGGAAAATATAAACAGAAAATGAATTGTTATGTGGGCCGGGCATGGTGGCTCACTCCTATAATCCCAGCACTTTGGGAGGCCAAGGCAGGTGGATCACTTGAGGTCAGGGGATTCAAGACCAGCCTGGCCAATATGGTGAAACCCTGTCTCTACTAAAAATACAAAACTCAGCTGGACCTGGTGACACACACCTGTAATCCCAGCTACTCAGGAGGCTGAGGCACAAGAATCACTTGAACCTGGGAGGTGGAGGTTGCAATGAGCCAAGATTATGCTACCATACTCCAGCCTGGACGACAGAGAGAGACTGTCTCTTAAAAAAAAAAAAAAAAAAAAAAAAAAAAAAATTGTCATGTGGCCAAAATGCTGTAGATTCAAGCATTTGATGTATCCTTCAAAATCTATCTAAATCTTGAGATTTCATGAATTAAAATGATACAACTATTTCTTCAGAAAAAGTGCTTAATGTAAGGTAACTATGAATTGAAATGTAACTATGAATTGGACTGGAGACTAAGGAAGACATAGGAAACCTTTGCTCTCCCATTAGCAAATTTTTTTGTAATTTTGTCAAAACACATAAATTCGATAGGTATCACAGAAACAGAAAGGGGAAAGTGTACATTTAGACATGATCAAAAGTGAAAAATCACTAGGCAGCTGAGAGTTTCAAACAGTCTCACAAAAATCCTCCCATGAGTAGAAACGTACCTTTGACTAATCTCAAAAATCAAAGGTACTTAGCTGCTCACAACTTCCAGATAGTTCAAATTTCTCTGATTATGCCAGACAACCATAACAAACATGGGGGGTTGTAAATTGACACTTTTTTAAAATGCTGAGATCTCTGAAAATTATTAATGAGCTTAAAGAAGGAACTTGCCAAGAAATATGTCTCTCTGTGTGTGTGTGTGTGTGTGTGTGTGTGTGTGTGTGTGTGTGTTTACTCTACACAATGGCTTCCTGAAACTACAAACAACAAAGAATAGAGAGCTCAGGAAATGGTGAAATATGGAAGTAGTCGCACTGGAGACTTCTTTGTAGAAAAAAGGTTTAGACTAGCTGGATAATATCAATTATTGCAAGAAAAGACTTAAAACAAATACACACACACACACACACACACACACACACACACACACACGTGTACTTTCCTAAATAAAACAGGTTAAAATCAGAAGATAAAAAATAAAACAAACCAACAAAAATCCTGACCACATCAAGTGTATCTAACAATAAACGCTGATCTCAAAAGGCCAATCTTACAGAAGTTTATAAATATCAAGGACTATGTACTAGAGAAATGGAGAACCACTCCAAGTCAAAACTGCCTTAACTTGATACAAACAAAACAAAATGATCACAGTGACCTTTGAAAATCAAAAGGTCCTAAAAATTAAATACCAATGACATCATAAAAACTCCTACCTTCAAAATGAAATGAACTGAAACTCCTCTTAAACTTCAGAACTGAAACTTCTATAAACTCAGAAGTCATAATGAACATCTCATATGCCAGGGGTTTTTTTGGTAAAGCCCTGAATTGTAACAATGGACAATACCTCGTTTCTCAAGTATAATTAAAGTTTTATAAACAGCTTATATAAAGGAAGATCAAATATGTTTCTTTGAAGTGTTGACTCTCTGTGGTTTACAAAATGCAAAACTCACTACTTCAACTACTTCAGGGACCACATAACAAAGGAAATTGCCACTGCCAGGAGAGACACAGCTGCAAGCCTCTGATAATACTTTGACAGACAAACTTTATATGACTGCTCAGATATGTCTTTGAAACAACCTACGTGGCTTTTTGCTTGTTTTTGATCTGGAGCTATTAAAAACAACTTGAACTTAAGGCACTATTACATCTCTGGTGCCTGATAACCAAGTGGTCAAAATATATTTGCTAAATGGATTCACAAATGTAATGATAGGAATCAAGAATTTCATCAGCAATCTTTGTAAATTACCACAATAAAACAGAATTTCACCTAAAAAATATTACTAAATTATCAATAAACAAGATTTCTATAAAAAATATTTTGGTAAGTGACTCATAATGACATTTTATACCATGACTCTTACAGAACAAACACTATTACCAAAACAGTCTGACTCTGATAACGCAGTTCTCTTACCTGGGACTTCCTCACGTCCTAGACAGTCTCCAACTTGCTCATAAATGAACAAGCCTGGACAACAAAGCATCCATGGACCAAATACTGGTGGATGCTCCTCTCCTAAGTCAGATGGCCATGTGGATGGCCAGCATCCCAGGAATGCACTCTACACCATCCACTATACCATTATCTAATAACAACTCACTTTTTAAAATTGTGAATTCCTATATGAGACACCAGTCTGTCATCATTCACTTAATCACACACACACACAAATGTCAAACTCATGAACACAAAAGGCATTTCCTGCACTGGGGTTGTTGGAAACACATGCCATCTGAATTTCTGAAAGACACCTATATCTTTCCAAACACAAGTAATGGTGTCTATGAAGTAGTCACAGGTTTGGCTAATTCTCAAAGCTTTCTCCCATTTCAGAACTCCCATAAAGTTCATTTTATGTATAACTATCTCTTTTTCCACACAGAATTTGATATGGATTACAACAAATATATATGATAAGCTGATAAAATTTTTAATGATAATAAAACTGTGTCCCCAGCTTAACCCAATTCATATGTTGAAGTCTTAACACACACCACTTCAGAATGTGACTATATTTGAAGATAAGGTCTTTAAAGAGGTAATTAAGATAAAATGAGGTCACATGTGCATGCCCTAATCCAATATGACTAGTGTCCCTATAAGAGATTAGGACACAGGCACGTACATAGGGAAGAGCATGGAGAGATAGGGAGATGGCCATCTATGAGTCAAGCAAAGGCCTCAAAAGAAACAACTCTGACAATGCCTTGATTGCAGATCTCTAACCTTCAGAAAGGTGTGCAAATAAATTTGTTGCTTAAACCACCCACTCCATGATACTTTGTCATATCCTAAAAACTGATACAAATGATAATAAAATTGATCTGCTTCAAATTAGGTAGTCCACTAATTACAATGAGCAGGCAAACACCAGTCACTTAAGAACTCAGTCCTGTAATGCTCTTCTCTTGCACTTTTAATACATTTTTTTTTTAAATCCAAAAGGTACAGGAAATGAGCATGCCAAAAAAGTTTAGTCCTTTGCCCAAGATTATGTAACACAAGGCAAAGGGGGAAACAAAACTCAGATTCCTAATCCCCTTTTCAATTAAAACAAGGCCTCAGAGAAAGAAACCAAGGAGAAAGAACAAACATAGTTCAGAAAGAAACATAACCAGTGTGCATTTATAATTGGATCACTGTGGTACTATAGCAAATATTTGCTAACATACACAGAGACCTGTGAAACAGGGGTACTTTCAGAGAGGTATCAGAGTGAGGCAGCTAAGAGCATGGACTTTGGACCAGACCCCGCGGATATTAAAATCCTAGCTCTGCCTCTTACTCGCTATGACTTCTCCCAACAAATCACTACCCTGTCTGTATCTCAGTTTTATCATCTGTAAAACAGACATACAGGAATATCTACCGCACAGGATTGTTGTGAGGTTCAAATGAGTCAATAAATTGAACCCTATGAAGTTACCATTTTATGGTTCAAAAATGGTCAAATATCAGCAATTTCATATGCTTCAGTAGGAGACATGGAAAGCCTGGCACCTGGTAAGTGCAATAAGAGTGTAATTAACCATTACTACTACAGTCTCAGCACACTAGGCTAGGGTGAATCCAAAGCCCATCCCAACCACCTATTTGCCTTCTAAAATCTTTGTGAACTTCAAACACCCCTAAGCTCAAACAACCCCCAAGAGTGCTGACCAGATAGTCAATCCCTTCTCTTCACCTCTTGGTTGCCCTGCACTTCCACACCCTAAACACTTCCTTCTTTAGAGCTCATTCTGCTGCAGGAAGTCAGACGTCTCTGTGAAACAGAAGTAACCACACTGCACCTCAGAGAAGCATGACTCCTTCGGTCTCTACTCCCTACTTTTCTCCAGATGTGGCAGAGTGGTACAAGACTCAAGATGTCCAGAGGGGAAATCCAGGAGTTGAGATTTTCCAGGCTCAGCCACCATCCTGATCTTGACCTAAAGCAATTCCAGGTACCACTAGGATCTGGCGCTGATATACACAAAACAACTGAGGCCTGAAAAGGGCACAGTCTGGACGGGTTCAGTGACCCGGAGTAAAGAAGGAAACACGTTTCCCAACTCTTCTGGACCTCACGCTGCCCATCTCGAAAATATTCTCTTATTTCCTTACCTACCTCCCAATGTCAGGTTCTGAAGGGCTGAGGAGAAGGTGAAGACCATGAGGAAGACACTCTGAACATCACTAATAAAAGATGCCATCCTACAGTGGGGTCACCACCAACAGCATCCTCTCAAATGCTGTCCTCCACCCTCCCCTCCCTTGCTAGACCCTCAACCTCTCTTCGCATGCCTTTAGCCTTAGGAGCAAAGCTTTTCCTCTCCACAGATCCCCAAAACTGCACCCCTCAGGTGGGACTTGGGACCCTTAAAAAATCCACCCGGCCTTCCTCTTGGCCAGTTCTCGATCTGCCCCCTTAAAGAGACCCCTCGCAGGTTCTCACCCTGCTTCAGTATTCTCCCCACTACCTCCGTGGACAGCCTTCCCCCGAGTGGCCCAGCCTCAGCAGGTACTCTCCCTAACTTGTCCCCACGTTCCTCAGCAGAGTCTCCCCGCGGCGAGTGTTCCCTCTAACCGGTCCTAAGTCTAACCCCTTAGCAGACGCTCCCCTCACCCGGACCCTCACCCACCAGACGTCCCCCCACTCAGCAGGTGCCCCATCAGCCGGGTCGCTTCGCTCCGGGGGCTCCCACACTGGCGTCTCCCCGGGCCAGTGCCCGCCTTCTCTTTCCCCGGCCCCTTGCCCGTCCTCTTAGCTAGTGGCCCCTCACCGGCGCGGCGGGTTCCTCAGCTGTACCGTCTCCATGGCGCTGCCGGCAGCCGCCCAGACCCGCTCACTGCTCCATCCTCCCCGCGGACCTCCCTGTGCCCGCCCCGCAGACCCACCCACACTTCCGCTTTCCGCCCCTACCGGAAGCGGAGCGCGGCGCGGGAGCGGGCGGAGCCACGGCCCTGACCACGTGAGTCAGGTGGCGCGGTGGGGCGCGGACCCGGAACCGCCTAGTGGTAAAGGCGCCTCCCAGCGTTGTCCGGTGGTATCTAGGGTGTCGGCGACGCTGTCTTCCTGCGGCACTGGAGCGCACGAAATACTCGGTACACAGCGCACCTCTGCCTGGGTCCTGGGCCCCTTTTCACAGAGATACGTGAAGCGCCTCCATGAGAAGAGCTGACGATTCTTAGCAAACCAAGTTCTGTATGATTTTGGTGAGAGGGCGCTGCCCCAGAACCCCTGGAGGTATTTGTGGTTTCCTGCCTCTTACTTGGTGAACTCGGGTCCCAACGGGCCCCCTACACATTCTCTCCTCGGATTTGTTACAGAGCATCAACGCGCAAATTGCCCCACTGTCTTTCTTAAAGGTCTCCCCTTTAAGTCAGTTTGCAGACATAAAAATAAGCAACATTAATTAAGCATTTGCCGTGTATTTGCCTTTATATATTATCTCATTTAATTCCCCCATGTCAAGCCTATAAGGTCATCCCCATTTTTATTTATTTAATGATTTATCACAGTGCCTACATGTTTTCAGTGCTTTACCTCATTTAATACTCCTAACACCCTAGATGATATTATTATTATTCCTATTTCATAAGGCCAGAGAGTTGAAGTATCTAGCCTAAGGTCACATAGCTTAGAGTATAGGTTTGGGGATTTAAATCCAGGTTGGTCTGATTTCAGGGCCTGCACCACCAAACTGGACAGCGACAGATGTGTAACCTCTTCTGGGGCCTGAGAGACAGACCTTTCTCTCCGCTGTGAGTTCTGGCTTCAGCTATTGAGCTTCTGAATGCCACTACCATCAATGAATACTAGGAAAATGTTAGATTCTACCCAGTTGACCCATGGGGAAAGTTATAGGAGGAAACTTAACCAGAGCAACCTCTCACTGTTTTTAATTGCCTTGCCTTTCCCAGGGATATGCCACCTACAGAACTTAGCACCTGAGCACCCACCCTTCAGGGCCACCCAGGGATGGCATCCCGTGTGCCCAAAACGGGATAAAGAAGCCGTTCCCTGACATAGGAGGAAAACATTTACTGAGAAGCTACTATGTGCCAGACACAATCTTGGACTTTCACTTAATCCTCAAAACAGCCCTATCAAGTAAGAAGTATCTTCCATTAACAGGTAAGAAAGCTGACACCCACGGTTTACACAACTAAAGAGAGCAAAGGTTTTAACCCAGGACTGTCCTGACTCCACAGCATCAAAGTTGTTGTTTGGTTTTTGTTTTATTGTAGAGATAGAATCTCCCTCTACTACCCAGGCTGGTCTCAAACTCCTGGGCTCCAGCAGTCCTCCCACCTCAGCCTCCCAAAGTGCTGGGATTACAGGCAGGAGCCACCACACCAGACTGATGAATAGAAATTGGGTAAACATTTTTGAAAATTAAGTATCAAATTACCATTACACAATGCCAAACATCCCTCCTTTGTCCCCTTCCAAGGATTTTTCCAGAAGATGGACTGATATTCTGATGGCCCCCTTCTTCCACAGAATGTTCCCAGTGAAAATTTCTGAAATGATAGGAATGTTCTACATATGTGCTGTCCACAATAGTAACCATCAGCCACACGGTCCTATTGAGCACTTTAAGTGTGGCTAGCATAACTGAAAGGCCAAATCTTTAATTTTAATAGCAAACCGTGGCCAATCATAAAATGATAATAGCTTAAGAGAAAAATGGTGAGCAGGGTTACTGGGAGAGAGGTTTTCCTATAAGCTCTGAATATACAGTTGACCCATGAACAACTAGGGTTTGAACTGCATGGGTCCACTTACATAACCCTTGTTTTTTGTGGGTTTTTTTTTTTTTTTTTCAATAAATACAGTTAGCCCTCGCTATCACAGGGTTCCACATCCACAACGAAACATGGTTGGAAAATACAGTATGGGATGTGAAATTTGTGTAGAGGGTGGGCTGACTTTTCATTTCTATGGGATCTGCAGGGGCAACTACAGTACATGAGTATAGTCAGATTTTGGGATCCTAGGAGATCCTGGAACCAATACCTGACAGAAACTAGAGGACAACTGTATAACATGTACGTTGCCCCACTGTCTTTCTTAAAGGTCGCCCCTTGAAGTCAGTTTGCAGACATAAAAGAAGGAACATTAATTAAGCATTTGCCATGTACTTGCCTTCAAATATTCAAGGGACTGGGTGTGATGGTGTGCACCTGTAATCCAAGCACTTTTGGAGGCCAAGGCAGGAGGATTGCTTGGGCCCACGAGTTCAAGATCAGCCTGGGCAATGTGGTGAAACCCCTTTTCTACAAAAAAATTAGCCAGGCATGACATATTATGTAATACCATTTGTATGATCCACATGGTCACCCTGGACCCCATGGATCAGGCCCTGCTTGATGCCACCACCACTTCTGTGCCAGGCCCCCCAGTGTGATGCAAGTTGCATGATCCTCTTTGCTATAGTGCCTTTTAATGGCATCACTTTGGAAGGTTTGGAGATGTTCAGAATAGGCAAATCTTTAGACCTGTGGTGGATTAGTGGTTGCCTAAGGCCTGGGGGAAAGAAGCATAGATATATTGGAGGGACTAATTAAAAGGTATGAGATTTCATTTTGGAGTGATGAAAATGTTCTAAAATTGGTTGTGGTAATTGTTCTACAACTCTGAATATACTAAAAGGCATTGAATTATACTCTTTCAATGGATGAACATCTGTGAGTTACATCTCAATAAAGCTGTTTTTAAAAAATGACACCTCTTCCTAGAAGACCTACGTCTCTGTTCCCCTGTTCCTTCCCTGACCCTCTCATCTGTCCCTCCTTCAAATTATTTCAGTACTGTTTTATCAGTCCTGGCATTTATGGGAAGCACTGCAGGAAGGAATTTCCAGGTATTGACTGCTGTGTAAGAAACCACCCCAAAGTTTATTGGCATAGAACAATAATCTTTTTTTCTTCTCAGAAATCTACCATTTGAGCACAGCTCAGCAGGCTCATCTCTGCTTATGGTGTCAATCAGGATCAATCAGCCCCGCCCCAAGTGCATCTCACACCGTTGACAGGGTGGTGCTGGCTGCTGGCTGGGAGCTTACTTGGGTCTGAGGGCTGGGGGCAGCTCCACTTTTCTTGAGCTGCCTCACAAAATAAAGCTTGAGTTCTTTTTTTTTTTTTGAGATGGAGTCTCGCTCTGTAACCCAGGCTGGATTGCAATGGTGCAATCTCGGCTCATTGCAACCTCTACCTCCTGGTCCCAGTTCAAGCAATTCTTCTACCTCAGCCTCCCAAGTAACTGGGATTACAGGAATGAGCCACCATGCCCGGCTAATTTTTGTATTTTTTAGTGGGGATGGGGTTTCACCACGTTGGCCAGTCTGGTCTTGAACTCCTGACCTCATGATCTGCCCGCCTCAGCCTCCCAAAGTGCTGGGATTACAGGCGTGAGCCCCCATGCCCGACCAATAAAGTCTGGGTTCTAAAATATGTTATTGAGGGACAGCCAAGATGACGCTGTGGTGCCTTTTAGTGGCATAGCTTTGGAAGATACTTAATGTCATTACCACTGTGGAGGGGGACCACAAAGGCCTGTCCAGTTTCAAGGAGAAGGGATGTAGACTCTGCCTCCTCATAAGGCAGTGGCAAGGGTCTGGAAGAGCTCGGGGAACCAGAAATACTATTGGGGCCATTTTTGGGAAATAAAATTTGCCACAGCTACGCTTATGTGATAAACCACACAGGAAATACTCAGCTGCAAGCAAGTGAAAACATCTAAATGTTGGCTTAAAGTACCATGGCATTTACTGTTTGTTTTGAGACAGAGTCTCACTGTGTTCCCCAGGCTGGAGTGCAGCAATGTGATCTTGGCTCACTGCAACTTCCACCTCCTGGATTCAAGTGATTCTCTTGCCTTAGCCTCCTGAGTAGCTAGGATTAAAAGTGTGTGCCACCATGCCCAGCTAATTTTTGTATTTTTAGTAGAGACAGGGCTTCAGCATGTTGGCCAGGCTGGTCTCGAACCCCTGACCTCAAGTGATCCACCTGCCTTGGCCTCCCAAAGAGCTGGGATTACAGGTGTGAGCCACCACACCCTGCCTTTATTGTTTATTAAAAGTCAAGAAGTCAGCAGTTCCAGAGTTGATTCAGTAACTCAACAATATCTATTTCATTTTTCCCCTCCCATCCTATTCAGCATGTTGGCTTTTCACACTTTCATTTATCGCCTCACAGTCACAAAATGGCTACCACATCTCCAGATGTCACATCCTTACCCAGCACTACCCAAAGCACAAAGAGAGCAAGAAAGGCTACTTGATTCACTACCTCTCTCTTATAGGGAAGGAAACTTTTCCCATAAGGACCTAGCAGACTCCTTTTTATCTCATTGCCCAGATCAGGGTCATATGTGCATCCCTTGATGAACAACTGGCAAAAGAAAGTAACATTTTTCTGATTGGCTTAGAGCAATCTTGATTCACTTCCCCAGCCTGGGAGAGTCTCAGGCAAAATTCAGGCTTCTGGAAGAAAAGATGAAGTTACTGAGTAGCCAGCCAGCGGTATAGGCCTCATTTAGTTTTCCCACCACTGTCAGGGTTCATCCTTGGTAGGGGGGAGGCCGGAGGTCAACGGGAAGCAGTTCAGATGGAACAGTCATCCAACCCTCAGAAAGCTTATAGTCTGGTGGAGTTAAGTGTATGCAGATCATTATAACTGAATTCCTGAAGGTAGAGACTAGGTCTTTGTCAATCAATGATTTTATTGGATGCTAGACCCTATTAGGGTCTTGGATAAACAAAGATAAAGAGGACCCACTTCCTGCCATTAAAGACCTCACAGTGTTTGAGGAAAAACTACAAACTGACAATCAAAGGGTGACAAATGCAAAGTTAGGGATAAAGCTAGGGACCAATAGG